GTGAACGAAAATACTCCAGTGTGAGTGAAAATACTGCAAACATATCAGTAAGCAAAGAATGCTGAAACCAAGTCATCAGCGGCTGCCGCCACCCCCCAGTGGGGACAGGCCTGCAGCCCAGCCTCTGCAGCCACTCACAATGGTACACCCTGAGGGGACTCAGAATAAGAAAGGACAGGATACTGGCCCTAGATAGCTAGGTGCTTGTCAAAGTGTTACGGAAACGACAGGCCAGTCAAGAAACAAGCACCACTCGGAGGGTTAGAGTACTCAGATGTATTACGCCAGCGGGCTCAGAGGGGCTTCTGCTCTAAAGCTCTGAGCACCTTCAAGATGTGCACAGGAGGTTTTATAGGGTAAAGTACAAGCTTGGGGTATTTGGCCAATAGGCATGGAACAGCTTTAGAAGCATCATTATCACAAAAGTGGAGGCGGGGAGGCAGCAAACCAACATTCCAAAGCCAGATATCTCTTTGAAAATCCAGCTGGCTAGCAAAAAAACATGAACAGCAAACCAAAGCTAATTAACTTAGATTTACAAGTTAGTCCAGCAGAACTCAGATCAGTATTCCGATACTTAGATTTGTGTGTTATCTTGTTAGCACAGCCCAGCTTTTCTTTCACATTCTTAGACTTGCGAGTTATCTTGTTAGACTAGCCCGGCTTTTCCTTCACATTCCTAGTGTTAGAGCAGGCAGATAGCTAGATATGAGCAGAGAAAGGGGGACACAGACCGAATGGCAGGAATTGGGCAGAAAGGAGGGGCACAGGCCAAATGCAGGAAACCACACATCATGTAAGCAGCAGGGGTCCCTGGGCAGAGAAAGAAAAGCAGGAACCTTGGGGCTGATACAGGATCATGCCTTTTGGGATGACAAGTGGCCTGGAGAAGAACAAAGAAAGGTGAGAAGAGGGAGGAATTTCTAGTGTCCGAATATAACCTTTTGCTCATTATGCCCTCATTTCAATAAAATTAGCCTTGCAGATCAGAAGTACCCATCAGGCACTGACGCCATGACACTCCCGATCCAGACTAAATAAGGACAAAAATCCCTCCTCCCTTTGGGAAGGTGGAGCTGGGCTGATAATCAGGGAATACGACCCCAAACCCTTCCCTCCCCAGTGAATATTCCGCCCATTCATTTTTACACCCTATGCAGCTAACTTGCCAAAGAAACTCAGGGCAGCAGCTCACCTGAGCCTGCCCGCTCTCCCCTGAGAGTGTACTAACCATCCTTTAATAAATCCTCACTTTACCTTTTTTTTTAACCTTTAAGTCTTGTCTCTGAATTCTTTCTGGGAAGGGCAAGAACCTGGAACACCGGTTGCATCTATTGCAACACTAGGAGAAGACTTTTGAATTTCATTTTTCAGGATGATTATCTGAAGTTCGCCAGATGAAAGGCAACCTGACTTCCCCTCTCCCAGGGCTATGTCCAACGGAGAATATTGCACCATCCTGACTTCTGCACCTCATTTAAAACTCAGTTAAAACCCACTTCAGTAAACATACAGCAAATGCTCAATAAACATTTACTGTTATTATTATTACATCTCAGATTGGCAAAATGAGGCAATGTGATATAGGTCAACCGACTTAAGCCCTCTGAGTCTCATTCTCTTCGTCTGCTTAACACGAGGGGCTTCCCTTGCTTGGCTATGCCACTTTTCCCATCTTTGTTTTGCACCTTCCTCTGCGTTTCCATTTGCTGCACATCTTAGCTGAATAGGTCTCATTCTCATATACCTGGAATTCTTTTCTAGTTTACGTCTTTGCTCTTTCATTGTCCCCGTGTACCTTTTCCATGGCTCCCGTAATTTACCATACTTTGCTATGAGACGTCTTTTCTGTACGGCACCAACACCTATTCGAAATATGGCTCCATCCAGTTTGTCACCCTTTTCGCTCAATGGGCGCGGCCATGTTAAACCCCTGGCTCAGGGAGACTAACGACGGAAAGTCTCGCGATAAAGGCGAGTTAGGGATCGCGCGAACTTCCGCGATAGCACCGAGAGTCCGGCCGCCGGGGCATTGGAAGGGGCGGGTTGTAGCCCCGGAAGAGGCGGGAAGTTGAGGAGTCCGGTTCTCAGAAAAGGAAGTTTGAAGTCACTGGCTGCGGTGTTGGGAGTAATGGCGTCGTGTTTGGTTTGCGACTGATCGTTCGTAGAGGTCCGTATTTTCCGTTCCTGTTGTGGTTAGTAATGAAGGGGCCTTGCCCTAGATAGTGACGCCCAGAGGTGCAGCTGGTCGTGGACTCTGAGGAATGTCAGCGGCCTACTGGGGACTTAATTGGCTAGCGATTGGGCATGACCGTGTGAGTGGTTCTGGGTCTTTCGGGGTCACGGGTTGGGATGACATAGAAATCAATAATTGGGGCCCTGAAAGAAGGTATCCTTCATTAGGGTTATTTTGGGTCGGTAGGGGCTGCAGTCGGCGACTATTAGGCGCCTGTGTGGTAGCTTGGGGAGCACCCGGCTCGTGATCAGTGATCCGGGCTCCAGCCTGAATTTTAAAGTTTCCATCTAAGCTGCACTACGCGCACATCATGTGGTGGGGTTTCTTGTGTGATTTTCTTAGGCGGGTAAGGATGTTGAGGATAGAGGGAAAGTTCCCATCCTTCTCCCAGAGGTTCTGTTTCCATCCCTGAAGCTATCTCTCTGATTATATTCTCTGCTGCTAACTTTGTAGCTAGTCAGGTACTTCAAGCTGAACTCTTCCCTCAGGCGCTCTCAAAGCTTCTTTGTCATCTCCCCCTGTCCCTCAATCTTTGCGCTGTGGACAATTGCAACCACACTCCTATCAGTTTTCAACGTGAAAGTCATGACTTAACAATCTATAGCTACAGCCCAGACGTTTCTGACAAGCTCCAGATTCACAGTGGCCAACTGTCTCCTACACATCTCTGTGAGGTTTCCTTATAGACACTTCAATCTTAGCATGATTAAAATAGTTTATCATCTTCATACTTTACCTGTTCATCCTGCTATTTTCTACATCATTATAAATGGCATCACTTTTCATCCAGAGAGCCAGAGTGAAAATCCTGAAGACATCTGTTTTCTCCCCACCCTTCTCCCATATCCCATCAATCTTTTGATCCTGGTGATTTTGCCTCCCTGACATCTCTCCAGTTTGTCCTCTCCGTTCCCACTGCCATGGTCTTAGTTCAGGCTGCATCATCCCTTGCCTTTTAAACCTGTATCAGGAAAACCTTGTATCTTAGTATTGGACTCTCTGGGGAAGTCAGAGTAGGGATGGCTGATTCTATCCAGGAGACATCTTGAAAGCCTTTCTAGAGAAGGTGACATTTGAATTAAGCCTATACATTTGAACTGATCCTGTAAGTCTGTGGATGAGAATGACTATTACAGCGTATTGAATCCCTTTTTATTTTCTTTCAGGCAAACTCCCTTTAGTGAATTGTGCCCTTTAGAACTTCCTTGATATGACCTTGGGTTAAGATGTTGGTAGGACAATAGCTGATAAAGATAACTACCATTTTTTTGTTTCAAAAATAATACAACTTATTCTACAAACATTGGAAACTGGAAATGCTAAATGCAATTTAACAGAAACTACTTATAATACTGCCATCCAGAGATAACCATAACATTTTTATGTATGTTCTTTTAGACCCTTTTTTCTTGAAAATATATTTCTTTTCAATATATTTACTGTTTTATAACTTATTTTTCTTGCTTTGTAATTCAACAAGAAAATTTTTTTCCAGATCTGTAACTACTTTTCTAAAACATTTTTAATGACTGTAGTATTCTATTCTTTCAGTAATTAATTTAACCAGTCCTTATTGTTGAGCATCTAGGTGGTTTCTACTTTTTAGGTGATAAAGCAGCATTGTAATAATGAATAACCTTGCAGATATATCTCTGTGTACATCCATGCCTATTTTTTAGAATAAATAAATTTGTAGGGGTCAAGAGGGAGAAACATTCTAAACATATAATAGAGTACAAACAGTCACATTCTCAAATGAAAAACATCATACATGTTCCAACCCTTCCAGAACTGTAAATTAATAGATTGATATTATCACGGCATAATCCTTTGTGATCTCTCTGAATCTTTGAACAGGGCAGTCTCTAAAGGGTAGTCTTTTATGTAGTTGCTCTTAGAAATTTCTAGGCTGATGATTGTGGGAATCGCAGGGCTGGCTCAGACTCTCAAAGCTATCTTCTTTTTTCCCCTCCCTGCTCATCGTAGCTCTCTTTACTGATATCTGCTGCTTCTGAAGAGCAATGAAAGAAAATGGCCAAGTCTCAGGTAAGTGAACTATTTATACCCCGTTTTGTTTTCCACTATATTGGAGGCAGTTTAAAAGAATTAATTCAGTTAAATGAAAAAATGTAAATAGAGATCAGGGAAAATAAAATAGAAGATCTAGACCAAGGAAACTTGGAACATAGTCATAAAAGTTACAGGATTTTTCAGAGTTAAAGTTAAGCATACCACCTGCAATTATAAGATTTACATTGTACATTAAATGTGATAATTTCTTGAAGAAAGTAAAAATGTTTTGCACTTAGGTTTGAAGTTATTCTCCTGATGGGTCTGCATACATATGATATTATAGAGGTCAGTGCCTGTAACATTTACCAACCCATGATAAATTCCATAGCGGGTTTCCCCTAGCTGTTTCTTAAACCATTTCTCAAAATAAGTATAGGGCATAATAACAAGGCAGAATTTAATTTCTAGGCAGTAAAATTAGAGGTCCAAGTACACAGCTGCCAAACAGCCTGGCTTGATCCAAGAATAAATTCTATTATTTTGGGAGCAGCATTTTTCAACACTGAGAGTTTGTAAAATTAGTCCAGGGGATTCATGCAATTAAATGTAATACCTAATTTGCATTTTTTAACCAATAAAGGAAGTAATCAGATATTTTTCCTTTACAATGCAATAGATTGAGAGCCTTGAAGTGTGTATCAAGTGAGCATGCTTGGTGGATAGTGGAGATATAGTAAATTTGCTGATTTCTGTTGGTTTTTCACTCAGCTAAACACTGCTGCCAGAATTTTAGCTGTGATTGTCATACAGTTTTAAATGCTTTTATTTGAAAGTATATATTGTGTAATTTTTACCTGTAATATTCCATTGGTTATACCCACTATGCAGCGTATAGCTTCAGCATAGTAGTCTTTAAAATGGGCAGCATGCATTATTTAGGAGATGTGCAAGATAATTCCCTGGGGTATGGGGAGAAAAGATGAGAACTTCTACTTATATATCTTTTTAATGATCATAATATCTCAGTATTAAGTATTTATATATAATTTATAGGTTTTTAAAGGTATATATTATTGATGTGCATCCTTTTTTTTTTTTTAACTGAAAAATGTCTCACCAAGAATCACCTCATTAGAACAAAATATGCTCCTGTCAACCAGGATTTTTGGAGCTCTGTCAAAAAAAATCAGACTCAAAAACCAAATATTAGAACAAAAGATGTTCCTAGTACCTTTATTCTTGGGAAATGACATAGGTTTTAGGAGCTATGACCAGGAGCCAGGGATGAACACCAAAATATATATTTCTTGTCATATCACAGTATCATGGTTTCCAATTTTAAAAGTTTGGGGACTCTTGTCTGTTTTTCTTGAAGTGTATTTGCTGTACAGTATTATAAGTTGCAGGTGTACAATATAGTGATTCACAATTTTTAAAGGTTATATTCCATTTATAGTTAATGTAAAATATTGGCTATATTCCTCATGTTACAATATATTCTTATAGCTTATTTTGTACCTAATAGTTAGTATCTCTTAATCCCCTGTCCCTGTACTGCCCCTCCCCACTTTGCTCTCCCCACTGGTAACCACTAGTTGGCTCTCTATTTCTATGAAGACTGCTGGGTTTTGTACCTATAATTCTGTACCCAATTTCAATGTGAGGTTTTCCTCCTACATACCACCAAGCAGTCTTTCAACACCAGCTGAGTGTCCTACAATTTAACTTAATTTAATTTTGACACTGCCTACCTGGAGAAAGCATCAGATCCTACAGGTTAAGGACCTAGTCCCACAAGGCTGCTCTCCACCTCAGATGCCAGTCACAAGTCCAGATTGTTACCTTTGCGTCTGACCTACTGGCTATAAATCAGAAGTTCTCACCACCCACTCCTTTGTTCTGATTTATTTTCTAGAGGGGCCCCAGGACTTAGGAAACCAGTTTACTCACTAGATTACCAGCTTGTTACAAAGGATATTAAATGATCGGAATCAACAGTCAGGTGAAGAGATATATAGGTCCCAAACAAAGGAGTTTCTGTCCTCATGAGTTTGGGGACCACCACGTGGCACATGGGGACATTCTGGTTCACCAACCTGGAAATTTTCTGAACCCCCTTCTCGTCGGTCTTTGTGGAAGCTTCATTACATAGACATGATTGATTATCATTGGCCATTGGTGCTTTGTTCAACCTCTAGCCCCACTCCCCTCTCTAGAAATCAAGGAATGGGGCTAAAAGTTCCAACCCTCTATTGGCTGGCTTCCCTGGAAACAGCCCTCATCCTTCGGTGCTGTCTTAAGATACCTCATTAACATAACAAAATGTATTTTTATCCTTCTCCTCACTGGAACTACAAGGGTTTTTAGAAGCTCTGTGCCAGAAACAAGATGAGGTCCAAATATATTTTATTATAAGTCATAGTATCACAGTAGTTTTGGTACTAGTGCACCTCCTCATTTTCAGAGGTCATTTTCCTTTATCTCATCTCAGCCACCAGCTCCCATAGTCATATGCTAGATTTATAATTACCAGTAACTCCAAGCATTTCACCCTCTGGACATTACTTCTGTTTCTAGATTGTTTACTCTAGTATCTTGACTCCAGCAATTCTTCAGTTCTGTACAGACCTCTGATCCATTGACTCTTCATTTTCTCACTGTCCATTACATTCCTCTCCTTATTTCTTACTTTTCTTTTTTCTCAGCTTGAATTCTGTTTCTTGGTTTTTGTTAGGAGCAAGTGTCACCCCACCGAAGTCCAATTGCCTACCCATTATTGCCACACATAGATATCTATTATAATAGATGTCATGAACTTAACTGAGACAAACAGGATTTTTTGTGGTAAAACATATATAATATAAAGTTTGCCATTTTAATGATTTGTTATGTCTATAGTTCAGTTACACTAGTTATATTCACAATTTGTGCATCCATCACCACTGTCTGCTTCCAAAAATTTTTCATCACCCCAAACAGAAACTGTATACTCAAGAAGCAATAACTCCCCATTTCTCCTTCCCTCCCATGGCCCCTGGTAACTTCAAAACTACTTTCTGACTCTATGAATTTACCTATTGTAGATATTTCATATAAGTATAATCATAAAATATTTGTCCTTTTGTGTCTAACATATTTCACTTAGCATATTTTCAGGGTTTATCTATACTGTAGCATGTATCAGAACTTCATTCCTTTTTATGGCTGAATAATATTCCATTATATGTATATCCCACATTTTGTTTATCCATTCATCTGCTGATGGACACTTGGGATCTTTCTACCTTTTCACTTGATTGTGAATAAAGCTTCTATAAACATTGGTATACAAATATCTATTTGAATACCTATTCTTAAATCTTTAGGTATATACTAGGAGTAGAATTTGCAGGGTCATATGGTTATTCTGTGTTTAATTTTTGGAGGAACTGCCAGAACTGTTTTGCACAGCAGCTGCACCATTTTACATTCCCACCAGCAATTTATGAGGGTTCCAGTTTCTTCACATCATTGCTAGCACTTGTATTTTCCATTTTGTTGATCATAACCATCCTACTGGGGTAAAGTGTTATCTCATTGTGGTTTTGTTCTGCATTTCCCTAATGACTAATGAGGTTGAGCATCTTTTCATGTGCTTATTATCAATTTGCATGTCTTCTTTGGAGAAGCATGTATTCAAGTTCTTTGCCCACTTTAATTGAATCATTTGTCTTTTTATTATTGGACAAGTAGAATTCTTAATTCTACCTCTCCCCTCTACCCAGACCAGCTCTTTCTTGTCTCCTGGACTTTAATGGGATGCCAGTTGCTTGGACCAAAAACCAAGGAGTTTTAGTTGATTCCTTTCCTCGTACATTGTCTTTCAGATGTATCTTGGTTGGATATGATTAGCATCAAATTTTAAAATAGGTAGAACTTAATCATGGTTTGAAAAGTAAGCAACAATGAGTTCATTAGCACTTTATTGTTACTAACTGATCTAAATTATTCCATTCTTCTCATTATTTCTAGATGTACATTTTAAAAATTAATTAGATTAACTATTATTTTAAATTATTTAAACTTTAAAAACAATGGTTTCTGTCTAATTTAATTTTTAAAAGTTTTTTAATGGAAAATTTAAAAATACGTAAAACTTTAGAGAGCAATATGATGAATCCCTTGTACTTCCTCATATTTTCAATAATTATCAGTATTTTACCAATCTGACATTTTCACTCTTTCTCTTTTATTTATTTGTTCTCTGGAGTTGCACATTTTAAAGCAAATCTCATTCATGGCATTTCACCACCATATACTTGCTTTGCATATTTCTGTTGCTATCTTCATGTTACAACAAGTGATACTGGTTTTCCCTTTAGTGGTTTCCTTTTAAAATACATTTATTTAAGTAAAAAAGTTGAATTGAGTTAAAACTATTAAGTCAATAATAGTGCAGGTGACATGACATGCAGATATAGTAAAACTTGTGAAGGTGATACGTTTGAGAGCATTATATTGAAATGCTCATAGGTCCTTGAATTTGTCATGTTCTTCATGTATACATGCCTTTTTACTACTTCCTTCATCTGGAATGATCCTTCTTCCTCCTCCACAGATTACCAGAGAATATACTATTCATTTTTTATGTTTCAAAAACTTTTAATTTTATCTTTACATTACAAAATTATTTTTATATTTTCACTATTCATTTTGCATAACTTTACATCTACAGAGCCCAGCTCAACTTTCCAAAATAGAATCACTCTTTCGTATTTCTATCAAAATCCATTTAACACCTTATAGCATTTATGTACTTACTTGTTTGCCTCCATCTCTAGTCTGTAAACCTTCCATGTTTTATTCATTTGTATAGTGAGCACCAAATAGTGCTAGTCATGAAGGTGCTTAATAAATGCTAATGGAAAGAGAATGAATGATTCTCAGTGGCAGTTTTTCTTCTCCTACATAGTAGAACCCAAAATTGGCCTCAAGGTAAACATCTTCTATAACATTGTGATAAACTCTGCATTAAAAAAAAAAGCAGAAATGTTCTCATACATCTTTTACACATCACTCAGTGTTTTTTACTTTAGATTGAATAGAGATGTCCTCTTACAGGAATTTGTGTCATTCCAAGATGTGACTGTGGACTTTAATTGGGAGGAATGGCAGCAGCTAGACTATGCTCAAAGAAACCTGTACAGGGATGTGATGCTGGAGAACTATAGAAACCTTGTTTCAGTGGGTAAGGACATCTTCCCTCACCTATTAGTCACCTATTTGCTGTATAACAATTATTCCAAAATTTAGTGGTTTAAAGTAAACATTTTTTACAAACAATTTCTGTAGGTCAGGAATTTGAGCTGAGTGATTCTGGCTTGTGGTCTCCCATGTGATTGTAGTGAGATGTTAGCAGGGGCTGCATGCATTTGAAAGCTTGAATGGGACTGTACGATCCATTTCTAAGATAACTCACTCACATGACAGGAGCCTTCCGTTCCTTGCTGTTCATTGGCAGGGGATCTCCGTTCCTTGCTATATGGGCCTATTCTCGTGACGTGGCTGCTAATTTCCCCCAGAAAAAGGGATAGCAAGGAGGAAATCACAGTGCTTTTTATGACCAAGTCTCTGATATCACACACCATCTCTTCTCCCTTACTGTGTTTATTAGAAGTGAGTTTACTAAGTCCAGCCCATGCTCAAGGAGCGTGGAATTAAGCTCTACTTCTTGAAGGGAAGAGGGTGAAAGGATTTATGGGGCTATATTAAACCCACCAAAGTGCTCAACTGACTGTCTTTCCTTTATATTTTACTAAAATCTCTTGGGTCTCCTCTGAATGCTCAATGGGTTTCATCTCAAGCTATGAGTCAAAAGAATATTAATTTTGAGTACCAAATACTGATGGGCCTGAGTTCTTGATTTTTATAAATTAATTGTGATATAATGTATGCAATAAAGTGTTCAAATATTAATTACACAACTGGTGCATTTTTTCACATGTATACACCTACTTGACCACTACCTAGATCAAGGTACAGAATATTTCCAGTACTCCAGCTGGCTTCCTTGAACTCCCCTTACCATTTGTCTTCTCATAGATAACAACTTATGGTTTCTATCACCATAAATTCATTCTGTTTTTGACCTTCATGTAAGTGTAATCACACAGTATGTAAGTTTTTTTGGTCTGGCATCTTTCATTTAACATAAAATCTGTGAAACGCATTTATATTGCTGCATGTCACAGTGGTTTGTTGTTTCTTATTGTATTATATTCTGTTTAATGAGTATACATTAATTCAGCAATTTATCCATTCTACTGTTGATGGTCATTTGGGTTGTCTCAGATTTGGGCTATTATGAATAAAGTGGTTATTAACATTTTTATATTTATATCTTCTGGTAGAAATAAACATGTCATTTCTGTTGAGTATATGCAGAGGAGTGGAATTTCTGGGTCATAGGGCATATGTATATTTAGCTTTAGTAGATAGTCCCAGTTTTCCAAAGAGATTATACCAGTTTATATCATACTAGCAATGTATGAGAGTTCTATCAACCTTTAGTAATGTCAGTCTTTAATTTTAACCATTCTGGTGCACATGTAATGGATGTGAGTTCTATGATGGTTAGTTGACCACTAACACCCAAGTCCCATATTATTTCCCATAAACAGGGTATCAGTCTCTGAATTCAGATGTAATCTTTTTGTTTAAACAAGAAGAAACATGGATGGAGGAGGGAGAAATGTCAAATTGGGCCTATTCAGGTGAGTGAGAACCTGGCAAATGGGAGGTAGGGAAGTAAGATTCATATTGATAAATGAGATGTTTGTTTCTGAAATATTTTTTAGGAAATCATTCTTTAAGGCCATAGACATTTAATAAGGGCTGAAGACAATTAATGTGGGATTGTCAAATACCTAAATGACACTTCTACATATCAAACTCCCTCACAGTACTTTTTCTTTATTTGACTTTTAGAGAAATAGGTAACCCTCTTACCCTTACTCTTGATCTTATCTAACCCATGTATTTAGGACATTTCTTAATTAGTTAGCATTCCTTTGACTAACATCTTCAGCTCTCCATTCTCCCAGAGTGGGGTTACGCTTCTCTCCTCATGCATTCATGCATTCATGTTCTCTTTCAGAGTAACGTACTTAATGATGTTCATATTCATATTCCTTCTAATTACCTTCTTTCTGTTTTTCTCATCTTCCTTTCAGTGTGAAGCATCTTGGAGTTAAAATCCTTTGCTTGTTTTTTTAAAAAATTCTCCAGGGACTCCAATAATAGAAATATTATTCCTTCTTTGCCTGTCTTCCTTTTCCACTGCTTTCTTTATGACCTTTTAATAAATCTGATTCTTTATGTCATTTTTATTATATTGGTTGTTTTCCTTCCTTTCTTCAGTGCTGCTTATTAAACTTTCATTTCCCATCTTTTCTCCCTGGCTACACCTTGTAATTTAATCTTTCATTTTTACTCCCCTTAGTTCCATCAACTTTTTTTCATTTTCCCATGTTTTTCTTTCAGTTTGTTTTTTGTACTTAAAGTTCTGATTCATGGTGATTTTCCATGTCTTAATATGCTTATCTGAGTATATTTAATTTTGCTTGGAGTTTTAACAAAATTTTCTTCTTCATGGCAAGACTTTTGAAGGGGACAGTTACCTCTGTTTATTTCTATTTTGTCTTCCAGGACCCTAAGTTTCCTCTTTTTTTTTTTTTTTCCTCCATCTCCAGCATCCAATTACCAGATGGTGCTTCTTCCTTCTTTTTTGCTTTTATCCTCCCTCTGAAACTGCCTGTTCTTCTACCTCAGGATCGTCCCCTTTAAATAGAGTCTATCTTATCCTCTGCCTTTTTACGTCATCTAACCTTTTAAGATGCATGTAGTTGGAAATCCTTTCCCTGTAGTTCTGCTCTAATCTGCCTGATTATGTATAAAATGTTTTTATATTTAGTGTGTGTTTGATATTTCTGTTGGTCACATCAACTCACTCCATCCCCTTTGCTAGCACCCTTCCTCTGTCTTTCTGAAGTTATGTTTTTGGTCTGCCTTCATTCTTCACAGAGCCTTGTGGGGGGAGTGGAGATGGAGCAGAAGTGTGTGGGGCTATGTGGGACTATGACGCTGAGCTCATCAACTCTTCTTTTTCCATTGCTCCCCTGCTCACTTCTTCTTATGTCTATTTCTTTTTCTGTCTTTGGGTTTTAATATCATCTTCTTAAATTTCAAAGTTGATCCTACTCTTTATTAGATTTCTGTCTATTTCCATTAAAATGAAGAGCTTTATTTACTTTTTGTTTTTGTGTTTTCTGTTCCTCAATGCTAAAGAGCAAAGTAACATCATTTACACTTGGGTTTTCTTTCAGACTTTGAAATTAGACCCAAAATGAAAGAATTAACTCCACAGAAGAGCATATCTGAGGTGATACTCCATAACATGATAGTGTACTCAGGTTTTGAAGACTGGAAACTCGAAGATGAGATAAGTCAGCAAGAAAACCAAGACAAGCTTTTGAACCAAGTTGCATTTATTAATCGTAAGTCACTGTCTGAGAAGATAGACCAAGAATGTAATGCACTGGGGAAAGGAGTTCATCTGAACAGAAGATCTAATGAACACATCAGAGCCTTCATACATAAATCACACCCCTTTGCACAACCGAAAATTCTAACAAGCAAAAAATCATATAAATGTGTTCAGTGTGGGAAAGCCTTCAGTGGAAAGTCAGGACTTACTGTACATCAGAGAATTCATACTGGGGAAAAACCATACAAATGTAATGAATGTGAAAAAGCCTTTATTCAGAAGTCACGACTCACTATACATCAGAGAACTCATACAGGAGAGAAACCCTATGACTGTAGTGAATGTGGGAAAGCGTTCACCCAGAAGTCAAACCTCATTAATCATCGGAGGATTCACAGAGAGGAGAAACCCTATGAATGCAATGAATGTGGGAAGGCTTTCAAGAGAAAGTCATCACTTAGTGTTCATCAAAGAACTCATACTGGGGAGAAACCATATAAATGTGATGAATGTGGAAAAGCCTTCATCTGGCAATCACAGCGCACTGTACATCAGAGAATTCATACTGGGGAGAAACCCCATAGATGTATTGAGTGTGGAAAAGCCTTCAACAGGAAGTCAGAACTTCGTGTACATCACAGAATTCATACCGGAGAGAAACCATTTGAATGTAATGACTGTAAAAAAGCCTTCATCCACAAGTCAGATCTCATTGTACATCAGAGAACTCACACTGGGGACAAAAGACATCAGTGCAATGAATGTGGGAAAGCCTTCATTCGGAGTTCAGAGTTCATTCAACATAAGAGAATTCATACTGGGGAGAAACCCTATGAATGCAGTGAATGCAGAAAAGCTTTTATCCAGAAATCACAACTCATTGTGCATCAGAGAATCCATACTGGGACAAAACCATATGAATGCACTGAATGTGGAAAAGCCTTTAGCAATAAGTCACACCTTACTGCACATCATAGAGTACATACTGGAGAAAAACCCTATCAGTGCACTGACTGTAGAAAAACTTTCAGCAGGAAATCTTCTCTCATTGTTCATCACAGAACTCATATTGAACAGAAATATTCTTAATGGAATGAGGAAACTAATTCAGTGGTCAAAATTTCATTACACTTCATGGACTTCATAGGCTAGAAAGTCTCTGGATATACTAAACATGGGAAGCTTTCAACTATAGTTCCAGAACTATTAAGTATAGAAAATTCATACTGAGAATCAACTATGAGAAATCATGTTTCCAAGAAACATTACATTGGACATCTTGGTTGAGACCAAAAAGTTTTTAAGTGTACTAGAGAAATCCCAATTACACATGATTGACCTATTCACAAAAAAGTACATATTTTTGAATGAATAAGTTGATTTATCATGACAATAAAGTGGACAACCACACGTAATCATTCTGCAAGTGATGTAAGAATGGCATTTAAACCCAAATTATCTGTTAATTGGAAATGAATATGCATTTTTTTACTGGTCTGTTTTTCCACACTAAATGACACTGTTTTCCCTACCTCTAAATGTAAAAGGACAATTTACAACTGAAGAAGCAATATGGTTTGTTACTTAACAAGAGTGTAAAGAGAGATCACGTATGGCTCTTCCCCAACTCTTTCATGATGTGTATAGACTCAAGAGAGGATGAAGCCGATGTATTTATAAAGACTTCAGAAGTCACTGGTAGTCTTAAGAAATGTTATTTGGTGTAAACATATAGAGGTAAGAAAGACACTGAATAACACAAGACTGAAAGAGGGCAGCAAAGTGTCCCTAGCCCTTGTTGGCATACTCAACACACGACAAAGGAGCTCTACACAAGGAATTTCCTGTTCAGACTCCTGTTAGTTTTCCACTCAGTATGGTATTTACACAAGTACTGTTATGCATAGTTTGGGATCGTTGTATCCTTATGATAATCAGAATTGAATTTTTTAAAGCTGCTTTTATTGGATGTTTCTACCACAAAGGCATTCTGCTAAGCATTTTGACATGTACTTTTTTATTTAATCACTACATCAAATGTATGAGACTGGCATTATCACCATTCTATAAAATGAGACAAGTGGAGCCTGGAGACGTTCCCTAATCCAGCTGAGGCCACATGGCTAGTAAGGGTTGGGATTCAAACCAGCCTTTTAGCCCTCATACTATTCTGTCCCATTGGGGTCATTGAGGAGTTGGTGCCATGCCACTTCAACTCCAGAGAGAACTGAGTTTAACTTAATTGAACATTATATGGTATTCTGTGTCCTGCCCCTAAATTTTGTTGAGTAAATTAACAAGAAACATACATTTTAAGGGGGTTATTAGATTTTATTTTCTTATATGTAGAAGCTGTTGGAGATAATACTTTTTTTGAGATATTTATCCAGAGGTACCTGTTTTGCTGCTCTATATATTTCCTTGTGACCAGCCTAAACATTAGAAATCATACTATTATTTTTCAGTTTGCTTGAAAAAAAAATTGTTTGCTTTGTTGAGCTGTTATTTTATTAACACAAATAAATTTTCTTACAAATTCAGTCATCCAAAGGCCTGCTTTACTTTTAAAAGGACAATAACCTAATCTTATATATTATAAGTATTCATTGTCAAGAAGTATTATGAAAAGAGGGATTGGTATCAAAAAACCTTTTAAAACTTTTCTTGAATGAAGGTGAAGCTCATATACCACATTGAACTTGAGCTTAAATTTTTTATAAATCAAATGCTTTCTAAGATTTTTAAATGAAAAATGTTTTAAAATTGAAATTATTGAATAATAACCATGATTATTAAATTTTAAAGTGTTTAAGCTTTCAAATAATTATTTAAACTAAAAGAAGTAAATTGCTGTCATGCAATTTTTTATTAGTCACTTTAGAAGATGACTTATATTTTTAGTGGGTTGTAAAAAAAAAACAAAAATCTGTAAAACAAGAGTATACAACAGAGACCATATATGGCCCACAAAACCTTAAATATCTACTATCTGGACTGTCATAGAAACTATTTACTAATCCCTGAACTAGAACATAAACAGTAAGAAAAAGTCAATGAAAACAAAATGTGGTTCATTGAAGTGATCAATGCAATTGATAAATCTTTGGATAAACTGATCAAGAAAATGAGAAGACAGAAGTTACTAATAGGAAATAAAGGAGATGACACCACTATTCTAGAATCAATAGATAACAAGGAATTTTTTTGTAACTTCATTTCAAAAATTTGACAACTATGATGACATGGAAGAGCTCCTTGAAGTAAGTGAGTAAAAAAGAAATAGAATACTTAAGTAGCCTTATTACAGTAACAGAAGTTAAATTTATAATTTAAAATCCTCCCTGGGGAAAAAAAAATCCAGATCTAGATGCCTTCACTGGTGAATTCTATTAATATTTAAGGAAGAAATAATATTAATCCTCCAAAAACTTTCAGAAAGTAGAGGAGGACAAACATTGTCCAACTCATACTGGATCAGTAGTACCCTGAACCCAAACCAGATAAAGACATTCATAAGTAAAGAAAATTATAAGCCAAAACCCTGATGACTATAGCAGTAAGAATTCTTTAAAAATTAGTATACTGGATCCATCAATACATAAAAAATGAAATATGTCCTGATTAATTCTTGAAGGTTATTCTAGGAATTCAAGTTTTTATTTAAACATTTGGTTATCACTTCATGTAATTTACTGTATTAAAATAATGAAGGGGAAAACTCACATAATACATACATAGATACAGAAAATGTGTTTAACAAATTCAACATCCATCTGTGATGAGAACTTTTGACAAATGAGCAATATATGGTAACTTCTATACCTCTGCCATTTTTATGGTTACTACTTTCTACAAAAGATCAGAAACAAAGCAAAAATATCTGTTCTCATTTTTATTCAAATTGTAGTAGAAGTCCTGGCCAGTGTAGTAAGAGAAGGAAAAAACAGGCATACAAATAGGGACAGAAGAAATAAAGCTTTCTTTATTCACAATCAACATGATCTTAGACATGTAAAATTCTAAAGACTGTACAAAGATTAAAACTTATAAATGAATTTTGCAAGGCCCCAGGATAAAAGGCCAATATAAAAAAATTGTATTTCTATGAATTAGCAACCAAATATTGAAAAATAAGATTGAAGAATCCATTTACAGTAACATCATAAACTATAAAATAGTTAGAAATAAATTAACCAAAGGTAAGCACTGGAAACTGCAAAATATTGCTAAGAGAAACTTTAAAACTAAATACATAGAAAGATCAATCATCTTCATGGATTAGAACATGCAGTAATGTTAAGATGTTTGTCTCCACATTGGTCTATTCAATCCCAATTAAAATCCCAACAGGCTTTTTTTGTTTTGCTTTGTTTTTTCCTGGGTGAGGGGGAGAAATTGATGAGCAGATTCTAAACTTATATAGAACTGTAAAGACCTAGAAGAACCAAAATAACTTGGAAAATGAACAAAATTGGAGGATAGGTTTTTGTACTCTTACATTTATGGTTAAGAGCTGTTTTCAGTTAATTTTAATAATTTGTGAATTAAAGGTGATATATATATATTTGTATATGGATATACAATTGATCAGCATAATTTGTCAAAAAGACTATCTTCTATTGAATTACCATGACATCTATATCAGAAATCAAATATGTATGACTTCTTCCTTCTTTCCACTGCTATTGACATGTATGCTTACAACATTGTCTGGGTTTTGTAATTTTCTGTTAACTCTTGAAATCAACTTTATTCTTCTTTTTTCAGAATTATTATGCCTATTCTAGATCCTTTGCATTTCCATGTCATTTAAGAATCAGCCTGTCAGTTTCTACAAAGAAAGCTGAAAGGATTTGATTGAGATTTTATTGAACCTATAAATCAATTTGGAGATAATTGATATTTTAGGAATTTGAATTTTCCTTTCTGCAAGTATGATATAACTATTTGTCTTATTTAATTTCTCTCAACAGTGTTTTGTAGTGTACAAAGTACAAGCCTTACACATATTTTGTTAAATTTTCTCCAAGAATTTCATATGCTTAGGCTGCTATTGTAAATGATATTTTATTTTCATTTCAATTCACATTTTTCATGGCCCATATATAAATACAATTATTAACTATATTTTATTCTGTAACCTTGCTTAATTCAGCTACTGGATTTATTAGTTTTTTGTAGATTCCTTAGGATTTTGTCTGTGTAAATTTTCTCTGTGTACATAAAAACTAGATTTATTTTCTCCTTTCCAATTTGTGTGCCTTTAAATTTTCTTAATTCTTTTATTTTATTCCTAGCCCACTGGCTAGAAAAACTCTAATACAATGTTAAATACATGTGAGCAAAGTGGACCTAACTGCTTTTTTCTCAGTCTTAGGAAGAAAGCATTACGTTTTCATCGTAAGGGATAATGTTAGGTGTAAAGTTTTTATTGTAGATGTCCTCTTATTAGTTTGGAAAAGTCCTTTTTATTCCTAGTCTAAGAGATTTTTTCTTTTCTTTATTGAATTCTGTCAAATGCTTTTTCTACATCGGTAGAGATATGCATATAGTTTTTCCTTTTTGTTGTATTAGTAGTTTTATTTCCTGACCTTTTTCTTTTTTAATTGAATTATAGTCAGTTTACAATGTTGGGTCAATTTCTGGTGTACAGCATAATGTTTCAGTCATATGTATACATATATATATATTCCTTTTCATGTTCTTTTTCATTATAGGTTACTACAAGATACTGAATATAGTTCCCTGTGCTATACAGTATACATTTGTTTACCTATTTTATATATAGTAGTATCTGCAAATATCAAACTCCCAATTTAAATGGAAGGCTATTAAGAAAGAGTAAAAGGCAGTCTCAGCCTGGATGTAAGCTGACCTTTTGATGACTTACTGTCCTGATAAAGGCATCCAGAACATCTGCTAGAAACTCAAGGTACCTACCCTAAAGTAACTTGTAACTCCTTAAGGAAAAATATTTCCTGACTCACATCAGAGTCAGTCACAGTTATTGCCAGGCAACTTTTAATAACCTCGTCGCTTTTTATCTCTATAAGCTCCTGACCATTTCTCTTCCCTGGAGCACTCTTTCA